ACAAGAAAACACAAAAAAGAAAAAAAACCCATTAAAGCAGCTCAAGAAGATGAAAAGGGAAATTAGCCAGGCACCAAAGAGCATCCCGTTAGAACAAAATTTGGTTTTAACGACCACTACTTGTAGTCATCATATGGCCTTAATGAACAATTTGTACTTGCCAAAGCCTGCTTCCAAGTACAAGCCACCATGTTTGATGCCCTTTTAATGGTCCACGGGTTTCATTTGTAACAATTCAATTAACAATTGGGCTACAGTTGCTCTAATCATCATCTACTGTTAATATTGTTTCTGCACTGTCAAGTGTTTCACAGTTTGTTAAACTGAATTTTGAACAACATTTTTTTAGAATCAAAGACATTCTCAGTTTGAAAAGCTTCTGCTGAGGAATGGGCTGGTGAGAAGAACTAGAAGAAAAAAAGAGATGGAACTAGCAATGCCAATGAGGTAATGCAGTAATTATGTCTTTTGAACCTAATTTTTGACTGCAAGGGGTGTATTATGTATACAATCCATAGGAGACAGAGAGAGGGAACTTAAATTTTTATTAATAGCCTTACAGATACTGTGAAAAAGAAAAGCATTGAAATTCTGGCAATCAGCTACACTGTCAGGTGGAACTACAGCACAGCAGGCCCAATTCCTGTTTTCACTCATATAGATTGGGAGCAAGTCAATGGAATTACATTAGTGTAGGAAGAGAATTGGACCTGGTATATAACTGTAATGACCAAGTTTTGGCAAGCATTTCTTAATGCAACACTGTGTGCCTGTATGTGTATGTGTGCGCCGAATATTACTATTTGATATATTTCTTGTATTACTGCCATGTCCGCACTCTCTGTTGAACTTGGCTTCCTCTATAGCGCTAAGCACTAGGGCTATGCAAAGCTTTGGGTGCTGATATGATTCGGAGCAGCTTTGGTTCGATTCAGTGGCTGAATCTCTGAACCTGAATCAAATCAGGGGACCAATTAAAAGGTCTGAATTGATTCAGAAAAGATTCAGAGAGCTTTGGAGATTTGGGCAGTCCCCACTGGCTGCAGCAGGGAGCTGGACCCAGACTCCATGCTGGTAAGTAGGGGGCAGGAGGGGAAGGCAAGAGGAAAGGGGAGGGAGCCATGGGGGGACCCCAGCCAGGCCGCATCCCCTGCCTGTTCCCCCAACCCCCCAAGTGTCCCC